TACTTTTAATCTCTTATGAATTCCAGGCTACATAGTGAGTTCCAGGCTAGCCAGGGCTACATGGTAAGACCCTGTCTCACACAAAGACTTTAAAAAAAAAAAAAAAAAAGTATTCAGATAGTGTTACTTTTTTTCCTAAGGCATTTTTCTAAAAAGTCCTGCTAATTAATATGTAATCTTTCTGTGGACACCCTTATACGGCTGTAGAAAAAGAATTTAGCCATCAACCATCCTCCCTGCATTATTTGAAATAGTGCTTCTGGGTTAGAAAGTCCTGCTCTTTGTCTTGTCAACCTTGCTTCCGGCACATTTGATTTGTAGCGACACCATGTGGCCAACCTAGGAATAATCTCATGATAAGTTAAAATTCTATGTTCAGTTATACAAACATTCATTCATGGAGCAAGGATAAATCCATGCAATATTTGGTACTTTTAGATTTTGTTTTGGTTTGTTTGAGGCAAGGTTTCACTGTGTACCCTGGGCTAGCCTCAAACTCGTAATCCTCCCAAGTGATGGGGTTATAGATAACACGCCACCTTTATGTTTTTAGATTTCACAGAAATCCATAGACCTGGCTCACTTCGTCCTTCCCTCCTTGCCTCCCTCCCTTCTGAGGATTCACTTTGTATGTGTGCTCACGTTTGGATATGCTGGTGTGCATGCACACACGTGTGAAGGCCAGCGGGTAACACAGGCTCTTTTCCTTATTACTCTCTACCTTATTTTATGAATTGTCTCTCACTAAACATGGTCACCGATTTTGCTAGAGTGGCTGGCCAATGAGCACCAGAGGTCTCTGCCTCCTCAGCACTGGAATTAAAAATGTGTTTTGCAGCACCTGGCTAAGTGCTGGGGATTCGAACTCAAGTCCTCGGGTTTACATGGCAAGCAACATTAGCAACCGATCTACCTCTCCAGCCCCCGAGTCAACCCTTTAATATCTATTTATTTGTGTGCACAGGTGTGCTGTGTATGTGTGCGCATATTTGCACATGTGGAGGTCAGGGGACAACTTTGGGGAGCTGATTCTCTCCTTCCGCTTTGTTGAGGTGACGGCTTCTTGATTTTGATGCTTTACTGTGTAGAGCTATGAGCGTCTAGATGGTTCTCCTGTCTTCACCTCCCACTCATCACAGAGGTGCTGAGGTTACAGAGGCATTGCCACTGCCACTGTGTTTCCATGTGGGTTCCGGGAACTAAACTTAGGCTAGCAGGCTGTGGGGCTAATGTTCACACTCTCTGAGCCATCTCTGTGGTCCTAATCTGCCTTTTACCTAAATGCCCTTTTCCATCATAAGGAACCAGGTTCCTTAGAGGGTGGTTATCTCTAGCTTGAGAGCAAGAAATATTAAGATGTGCTTGAGAGCAAGGAAGATGCCGAAGCTGATGAGATGCGTGTCAAAAGAATGAAGAGACCCACGTGAAACCAAAATGTGGTTCCTCCTGGCCCCAAATGAGTTTGAGCGTCAACGAGAATAAAATCCTCAGAGCCTGATATGCTGGTGTATACCTGTAATCTTCAGAAGGTGGAGCCTGATATTACAGGTGGTGCACACCTGTAATCTGGGATTCAGAGGGTGGAGTCATGGGGAGCAGAAGTTCAAGGTCATCCCTGGCTACATAGTGAGTTCAAGGCCAATGTGGGATCCTATACTCTGTCACGAAAAGGGAGGGAGGGGCTAGGGAAATGGCTTAGTGGTAAAAAGTGCTCACACGAGATCCTGGGTTTGACTCTGTACTCCCCACAGGTGCACATAGCAAGAGCACCTGTAATATCAGTGTGGGGGGGACAGGAAGTGGAGACAGGAGACTCCCAGGAAGCTTGCAGGCCAGCTGGCCTGGTGTGTGTAGTGGAAAAAGAGCAGAAAGTCTGTCCTAAACAAAGAGACCACCAGGGATCAACACCCGAAGCTGTCCTCTGACCTTCACACTCTCCCCACAGTATACCCATCCCTACATTTATACCCACGACAAAAAACCAACAAAGAACAAGTGCAAAGCAGTGCAATGCATCCAGCATGTTTAAAGCTGTATGTTTCTGTGGATAGTAAAAACAAAACACACAAACAAAAAGCAGAGAGAGGAAGATGTCTGCCTTTGGAAGACATCAAGGAAAAAAAATCGTTCTAGAAACTAGTTAAGGAAGAGAAGGTGACAGTCACATATCCTGTTCTTTCCATATGACTCTATCTTTGTAAAACCAGATAGGAGAAGAGGGCACCCTTGCGTTTGTCCAGGTATAGCAGCTGATAACTGAAGATGTTAACAAAGGACATCATTTAATAAGTTCCAAAGGGACAGGCACATAAGCAGGAACATCTACGGCTTAGCAGACAATTCCAAGGGAACAGAGCTTAGCAGACAAGAGTCCCACTAGGGCTCAGTACCTAGAGACACAGGAGCTCCCAGCAGGGCTCAGTACCTAGAGACACAGGAGCTCCCAGCAGGGCTCAGTACCTAGAGACACAGGAATCCCTGCCAGGGCTTGGCACCTAGATAAATAACTAGCTTATATTATTAGAATTTTACAAATTACTGTTAACATTTAGAAATAGTATGGTATAATGGTTATATACATTTTTGAAAAATTCAGTAGTCCCATTAAAATATTTAATGGATGAAATCATATAACGCCTGGAATTACTCAAAAAAGTAATTGAGGGTGTTTTCTGAGTCATCATAGGACACAAAACTGTCCCCGGGTTGACCATCCTCAGTGAGTGGCGGATGCAAATGCCTTCACTATCTGTCGCTCTCTATCTTTCTCAGGTGGCTGGGGCTGTGCTCAGCAGGAGAGCATGCTTAGAATAGAAATTCCCATAAAATATTTAGAGACAAAACCAATTATACTGTGGTGGTGTGGGTGCAAAATGTTCCCCTGATAGGCTGAGGTATTTGAACACTTGGTCCCTAGTTGGTGGTGCCGTTTGGGGAAATTGTGAAACTTTGCTGGAGGAAAGATGTCACTGGATGTGGGCTCTAAGTATATAGCCTTGTCCCATCCACTTCTCTGTTTTGTGTTTTCTGTTGAGGTTGTGACCTCTCAGCTTCTAGCTACGGCCTCCTGCTGCCATTCAAACTTACCTTTATGCTCTCCCCCTGGAAGCATGAGACAAAATAAACTCTTCCCTTCATAAGTCACTTCCAGCCCTGGGATTTTATCACAGCAACAGAGCAGTAACTATACAGTACGGACTCATCATTTTGAGTCTGGGTGGACCCATGGTTAGAGATTAGCCACATCTGCAACCATGGCTACCACAGCTGAAGATGCTTGTCCTCCTCTGTAATGGTTAGGTGCCTGTCACAGTTGGATTTTAACAAATGTGGAGTCACCAATCACTCAGAAGAGATGTGGCTTCTGAGACAGGGCTGGACCATAGGATAAAAGGCGTGCACTGGGGCTGGGGTGAGGGGTGAACTGATTGGATTGTGTCAATCTCCAGATAATTAGTAGATAAAGAATAATAGGCCACAGCATCAAATAACTTACAAATAAGGTTTAGAGAGTACCAATAGGCAGTTTTTCACAGTAACCCCAGGATGTTGGTTATATCAGCAGTGCTTAACCCATGGGGAAAGAAACTAAGCCTTAAAGAGGCTTAGTGACTTCTAAAGCACGATCTTGCTATTATGTAGCAGAACTGAGAATCACACTTTGCGCCAGGCCATCTCTCAAACTGCAGGGAGGAGAATGGGCAAGACAGATCTGGATATGTCAGTGAGACCAGTAGACATCCAGGGCTGAAATTTAAGGAAGCTCTTACTTTTGGCGCTCACCCTGGACCTGGGTGACTGTAGGAATAAGTGTTCCCTTAAATTTTTGCATCCTGGGTCCCTCAGTTACCTACCTTAGTCCTGACTCAGCTTAGAGTTCTCTATGTCTCTGCACAGAGACTAGCGAGTCTGAACGAGGACTAGAAAGAAAATAGGTTCCATGGGCAGCAGCACGGCTGCATTCCACCTCTGTCCTCTAGGGGGCTCTGTTCACCCGGCCGTAGATCGCCCACAGCAGGCGTCCTCACACTCTAGCCTGCTCTAAGGAATGAGTCTAAGCTCGCTCTGGGGAAGGAAGTCCCACCCTCAGAGGAAGAACTGGAACAGAGAAGTCTACTGGTCACATTTGCACCGGGTGGTGGGCTTGTGGTGGACAGAAACTCTGCGCAGCACAAATCACTTGTATGGTTGATTTTTATGAAGCTGGTCTTGAGCAGACCCCAACCCCCAACTTATGGCTACTACTGAAGAGGATTCTGGTCTTCTGCACCCATCATACAGTGCGATTTTGACAAACGGGGAGTCATCTGTCATTTAAGAGACTTGACTCACAGGGCAGGTTAGGGACCATGCACCAGGCTCCGGAGTGAGTAGCAGGGTGGTACAGTACAAGCTTAGCAAGCACGGAGTTGTGGGCTCCATTCCTGGCACCAAGAAAGTAAAACAAACAGAAGCAGGCAACAGTCTGCCCGCCCCCCACTTACTACAGCGAAGAAATGTGACTGTGAGGGAGTCCTCGAAACACAACCAGAAGGACAAGTGAGTGGATGTGTTCTTTGCTTAAAGGGCCACAGACCAGGGACAAGCAGGGCCTGGCTGTTCAGCTCTGACAAACACCCCTACCCTTCTTCATTTAAAGGAAGTGTGGGGTGTGAATCTTGTTCCCCAGCTATTATATCCTGAGTATCCATGGGCCCAAGCTACGATTGACTTACATATCCCGTGATTTTCCTGAGACCCTGCTATGGATAATGCAGGTGGGCGGGTATTCATCTTAAGCTTAGGATGGGGGGACCAGTCCTACCTATCAATATTGCAACAGGCCAAAGCATTTATCCAGATAAACTGCAAATGCATGTGTGCTGTGGCCTGAGGAAATTAAAGCGGGTTATTGTCACGATTCAGGGTTTCTTTGTTGAAATGAATTAGGCAACAGAGAAAAACCAATATGAACATTCACTGAAAAGGCTGCAGGTGAATGCTAAGAAGTGTCTCCTTACGTGGAATAGACAGTTATGCCCTCCCGCTCTTCGATCTTCACACTTTCATCACCAGGAACCGGTGGGCTGCTTTGAAATTGGTTCGGAATCCGGAACCAGACTTTCAGTTTCTTCTGTAGGGAGCCATCTTCATTGGGAAACACGGCAAAAGAAATGGGCACTGTCATCCCCATGCCAATTCCTGAAGACATCAGAACACAGAGAGAAGCAGGCATTAGACAGAGCCTCTGAGGGCCATGAATTTCATCTCTCTTCCAGGGCATTTTTTTTTTTTTTAATGAGCAACAAACATTTCAGACACTAAGAATATATAATTAGACTTGTGCTTATAAATAACTCTTACTTTTATATTTTGGAGATAAGAGTATGATGGCACTATTTATTTTTATATGTTTGTATGTGTGCCTTCTGAGCTTACATGTATCACGTTCGTGTAAGCACCTGTGGAGGCCAGAAGAGGGTGGTAGATAGATCCCTTGGACCTGGAGTTACAGATGGGTGGGAACCACCATGTGGGTGCTGCGAGCTGAGCACTGTTCCTCTGTAAGAGCAGCCAGTGCTCTCGGGCTGAGCCATCTCTCCAGCCTTTCCTTTGGCTGAGAACTGAGTTTGGGTTCTCTGCAAGAGCAGTAATTAATCTTGAACAGTGAGCCATCTCTCAGCACCCATGCTTGAAGAAACAAACAAGCAAAAACTATTTGGTGACACATAACAAGAATGGATACAGCAGGATCTGCATATTCGAGAGAAAGCACAAAATACTGGAAAGTATGGGTGATAGGACATTGCCTGCAGCATAGTTTGCAGCCGGTCAAAACAGGAGTCTGAGTAAATTATGGACACATGATGCCATGCAATGCAGGTATGAGGAACCATGCTTAAAGACTGTTTAACCACAGAGTACAATTACAAAACAAGTAAAAGAGACAAAATATGCAATGTAGGAATGCTCTGTTTATATTAAAAAGGCCTCCCAAAAGGCCTGGTGTGTGCCACACGCCTGTAATCCCAGCACTCGAGAGGAAGGACTGAGTTCCAGGCAGCCTGAGTTATACAGCAAGATCCTGACTCAGAATCCAAGTGTTGAGGATATAGCTCATTGGTAAAATACTGGCTTAGCACACCCAAGGCCCTGGGTTCCACCCCCTAGCACTTGGAAGCTCTAAAGAGACACAACAGTGTGTGAGCTAGAACGGGAGAGGAAATTAGCCATTGTGTTGTGTTGATACATGTTTTCACCTACATAGATACTTTAACAGTTAAGAAGGAAAAACATTTTCTTAACCTCTAGCAGGTCAACTTACTTTCCAAAGCCTGCTTACTTTGCTCCAAGGGAAAAAAAAGGTTAAAAACAGTTTTTTACCATCTTTCCAACTACCAACATGAGAAATAATCAAACCCAGTGTCCCTATTTTCATTTTCTTTTAAAACCCATAAGTAGTTTGCAGGGACTCCACAGGTCACTGAAGTCAGAAAGCTGCTTGTGAGTCCAACATTTTACCAGCAGGTGTGGTGGCACAGGCCTCTCAGCATTCGGCAGGCAGAGGCAAGTGGATCTCTGCGAGTTCGAGGCCAGCCTGCTCTACACAGTAAGTCCCAGGACAGCCAGGGCTATGTAAAAACCCCGCCTCGATACTCCTACCCTCCAAAAAGAAATAAAGTAAAATTACAATTTACACTCCCATGCTGTACCTTACATGAAACTTCAGCCCAATCATTTTAGAAACTGGGCTAGAGGAGGGGCAGCCAGCACGGGCTGCTGTGTCCCAAAGCCAGGATTGGCTTAAGAGTCCACAGATCTTCACCCATCAGAGCTGAGTCTGGGGCTGCAGCACTAACAGCTCAACCGGCCTTCACAGCTAACAGCCTGAGGGCTGACAGGTTTCCAACCTGGTGCTAGCAGTTTCCAGTCAGGTGATAACCATGCCTTGTACGGAGCTCAACTTCCTATGGGAGTGCTTTGCCCACTTACCCAATCCAAGGACACAACAAACACTGTAGTGTTAAAAAACAAACTAAAAAGAAGAGTGCACACCTAGCTCTCTGTATTTGGAAAGAACCACGAATTGAGTGACAGAGAACACTGAAAAGTGAGAGGCAGGCCGGGCTGACATCAGGCCGGTCTGATAGCAGGGCTTCCTGCCATGAATTTCCTGCATGTGATGTTGGAACGGGCAGGTACAGGTGTTTGTAGCCACTCCCTGGTATTTCCTGGGACAACATGCGCTCACACAGAGCCCTGTCCCTCTGGGGTGCTCACCTTTGTCATTGGTACCGCCCACATACTTCATGATCTTGGGCATTGCTTCCCGGAGAGCCTCGTCCACAGGCTTGTCTGTCACTTCCACAGTGGCAAACTTCCCCCCTTCACAGGCTCTTTCCTCATAGGAGACTTCTTCCTGGAGATTCAGGAGACACGGTGAGTGGGAACAAAGGAGCTCAAAGCAGCAAGAAACTCCTCAGAGTGGGTGCGGTGACTGTGCAGACAGACGGCATACGAAGCGCCATAAGAAACAGATTCTGAGATTATTATTATTGTTGTTGTTGTCTTGTTTTGTTTGTTTGTTTCTTTTAGAGACAGGGTTTGTCTGTGTAGCCCTAGTGTCCTGGAACTCACTGTGTAGACCAGGCTGGCCTCAAACTCAGAGATACATCACTTTCCCGAGTGCTGGAATTAAAGTCATGGGCCCTCTCCCTGGCTGAGTCTGAGGTTTTTTTTATAAATGTAGAATGTCAGAAGCTATTTAAAAATCTTATAGGAAGGGATAGCGCATGCCTGTGACTGTAGCACCTGGGAGGAGGAGACAAAACAGGCGTTCAAAGTTATCCAGCTACATAACAAGATGAAGGCCAGCCTGGGCTACATGACATGTTGTCTCAAGGCAAAACCACTACCCCCCAACAACAGACAAAAGATTATTTTATGATTGATATTCTAAGGGAGCTAGAGAAGCTATTGGACCTCGGAATACTGGAAACATTGCAAAAATGGAACACCAAAAGATCAAAAGCTTTTGCAGATTAAAAAAAGAGAAAGAAATAAAGGAAAATGGGGTGCTGGAGAGGGGTCTCAGTGTGTGCTGCTCTTACAGAGTGCCCAAGTTTCCATCCCAGCATCCATGTGGGCAGCTCACACCTCTCTCTAATTACAGGTCCAGGGGATCCAATGCCTCTGGACTCCGGAGTTACTTGAACTCACATACACATAATTAAAAATAAATAAATAAATCTCTTAAAAATCTGCTAACTGCCGGGTATTGGTGGCGCACGCCTTTAATCCCAGCACTCGGGAGGCAGAGGCAGGCGGATGTCTGGGAGTTTGAGGCCAGCCTGGTCTCCAGAGCGAGTGCCAGGATAGGCTCCAAAGCTACACAGAGAAACCCTGTCTCAAAAAACCAAAAAAAAAAAAAAAAAGAAAGAAAGAAAAAAAAAAGAAAAAAAAAAGAAAAAAAAATCTGCTAACTGATATGAAAAGAAAAAAAAATCCCTAGAAAGGTTAGAAGACAATGTTGCTGGGAACATACCAGAAAGTTAAGAAACTAACAATGTAGGCGATGGAGATAAGGGATTTAGCAAGAGAAGAAGTGAAGTCTGGGCTTCTCCCATAACCCCAGCACTTGGGAGGTATAGAAAGAAGGATCAGGGGTTCTAGGCCAGCCTAGGCTACATGATATCCTGTCTCAAAAGCCAAACTAATAATTAAAACAAATCAAACCAAAAAATAACACCCCCCCCAAATGCTCCCTTTTACCAAATAAGACTACCAAAGAAGCTATAAACACGGGGAAAGCTGAGGAGGTGGCAGTAGCAGCAGCAGCAGCAGCAGCAGGAGCAGCAGCAGCAAGCAAATGACAAATGACAGCATACGCTGGCAAGGATGAGGATGCAGGGGAAGAGGAACCATTTACTCTGCTGGTGGAAGGCAAAGTGGCTCAGCTACTGTGGAAACCAGTGTGGAGGGTCCTCAAACACCACACGACCCAGCTATGCGACTCCCGGGAATACGCCTGATGGAACCCAGGTCAGCACACCACAGACATCCACACACCGGTGCCTGTTACCGCGGTATTCACAGTAACCCTGACAGGGAGCCAGCCTAGGTGCCCACCAACAGAGCAGCGGACACAGAGCCTGTGATATAGACAACGGTCTTACTTAGCAGTAAAGAATAGGGAATCAACAACATTTTCAGGGAAATGCATGGAAGTGGAGCTCACAATGTTGAGAGAGAGAGTGAGAGAGAGAGAGAGAGAGAGAGAGAGAGAGAGAGAGAGAGAGAGAGAGAGAGACTCCACATTTCCTCGTGTGTGGCATCTAAATATAATTATATAAGAACTGCATACATACGTGACGTGCACGTGGACTACAGAGGAAGAAGAGGTCTAAAGGGAGGGTAGAAGAGGGTGAAAACAAGCTATCTTGCTTTAGTTCGTGCAGAATCCAACTTTAAATACATACACACACACACACACACACACACACACACACACACACACACACACATATACGTATATATATGCATACTTATTTTTTATTTTTTGTTTGAAAAAAAAAAAAAAAAAAAAAAAAAAAAAAAAAAAAGCATCAATGTCTAGAGTCCTCCAAAAACGGACAACCCCAAGTATAGCCGTGTAGCTGTGAGTCAGGAAAAGATAGGGGGCTGGGGTACAGCCCAGCAGTACAGTGCTTGCTTATTGTGGGTGAGGCCCTCAGTTTTATCACAAGCAACACCTATGTTCTTCAACAACTTCTACTCAATAACACCTGCTAACTCCGTTTTGTTTATTTTGGTGTCTAGAGGGAGCCTGGGGCCGTGTGTGTGCGTGTGTGTGTGTGCGTGTGTGTGTGTGTGTGTGTGTGTGGGGGGTGTGTTGTGTGTGTGTGTGTGTGAAGCTCTAACACTGAGCTAGCCACTGCCCCTCTTCTCTCTATTTGTGTATTTATTTCTTTTGGAGCTGGAGCTGGGACCCAAGAAGTTGTAACCATCAAGTTTGTGGTACCCCATTAGTGATGCCACATTACTGAAGAAGTGGGGGTCCCTTCTTGAGGTTCTTAGACTCATTTATAAAAGAACTTAAAAACAGACTTGAAGGAAGCCTGATTAGTGGCATTTAAGAGAAAAACCCCAGGGCAGGTGAGCTATGACTCTTGGCAGCAGTCTGAAGGAGGAAGACAGAGCAGAAAATGAAGAAAGAGCCATACCAGTTTGACTTAAGCACACACAGAGGCCATCTGTGTTATGGGCTAATCCTTTTGTACATTGTGAATATATATCTTTGCCAATGAACCTCCTGGTTGGTTTAATAAAAAGCTGAATGGCCAATAGCTAAGCAGGAGAGAACAGGCAGGACTTCTGTGAGAGAGAGGAACTGGAGATTAATTTAGCTAGACACGTGAGAGATGCCAGTGAGATTCGGAGTTAGTCGGACACACAGAATGGGAGAGAGGTAAAGGTCTCATGGCAGAACATCGAGTAATAGAAACGGTTAACTTAAATTATACATCAAGTAATAGAAACGGGTTAAATTAAATTATCAGAGCTAGCTGGGAACAAGCCTAAGCTAAAGGTCAAGCTTTCTTAACTAATAATAAGTTTCCATGTCATTATTTGGGGGCTGGGGGTCCTGACAAGAAAGTCTGATGAGAACGAGAGTACTACACATTCACATGGTGGGGAGGGGAGCGCGGTTGAACTGAAGGGAAAACATGTTTGGGGGGAGAGACAGAGAAGTAAAGAGAAAGGTGTGCTTTTCTTTTCCTTTTTTTTTTTTGTTTTTTTGTTTTTTTGTTTGTTTTTTGAGTCAGGGTTTCTCTGTGTTATCCTGGCTATCCTGGAACTTGCTGTGTAAACCAGGCTGGCCTTGAATTCATAAAGATCCTCCCTCTGGCTCCAGAGTGCTGGGATTAAAGGCTTGAGCCACCACTGCCTGGATGGAAACTGTGCTTTTCTTAGTAAACCAGAAGAGTGGGCAGGCTTGACTACAGCTCTGTATGCTACTCAGGGCTGGAATTCTGGGAAGGAAAAGTGTGTTTTTATTTTATTAAAGGGTTAAGTATTCCTCCAATCTCTTAAGCATGGTTTATGGCAAACCTGTCTTCCGGAGGGTGGTCCCTTGGCCCCTGGCCTGGGTGGCTAGCCTGCCCAACTGCATGCGCTCTTAAGGAAGAGACAGTGGCATGGCTCCAGGGGTAGGTCCCGATCTTTGGACTAGAAGGGCAACAGTTTTCCTGTGTGGGCTTTCAATGCTGTTCTAACAGTCCTACCACAGAGCTGCATTCCCAGCCGCCCCAGCTCACACCTCAAGGTGTTGCAATCTCTCTTCCCACACAAAGCCTTTCCTCACTTTCTGTCCTTTGCTCGGAGCCCCTGCCCTCTGGCCATTAACCTTTCCCTGGTGTTCAGACTCAGGGCAAACATGCGGCTCTCCTTCTGCACCCTGTCCTCTTCACCTTGCCGTGTGATGTCTTCTACGATACCATTTTGTGTTCCTGGACATCCAGGAAATCAGCATTTCTCAAACTTTATTTGTGTTTGTTCTTCAAACTTTTAAAAAATTACAATCCACAAAAAGAAAAATATTTCGACGTCAGGGTTTATTATGAATATACATGACGCTGAACCAACATTCTGCAGAAACAACACTTCACCCATAGTGACGGAGTACAACATGACTTTTTTTGTTGTTGTTTTTGTTTTTGTTTTTGTTTTTGTTTTTGTTTTTCGAGGCAGGGTTTCTCTGTGGCTTCGGAGGCTGTCCTGGAACTCGCTCCTGTAGACCAAGCTGGTCTTGAACTCACAGAGATCCCCCTGCCTTTGCCTCCCGAGTGCTGGGATTAAAGGCGTGCGCCGCCATTGCCTGGCTACTTTTTCTTTCTAGTCTTTTTCCCTTCTATTTTGGTTGAGTGAATTTTATCTCAGTGCACTAAAACTAAAGTTTGCCTCTTTTGATTTTACTGTATGGCAATAGGACACTGTTGTAGTTGAAAAATAAAGACTTTGTGGACAAGAGCTAGACCACACAATTTCACATCATGTAAATCACTAGGTGTTTATTTGACTAAAGGGTACAGGGTTCCCTGTACCATTCTACTATGAAGATTCTCAACTAGGGAGACTTTGATTCCTAGAGCTCAAAGAGGGGAAGAGAGAATTTAGGAAGGACTGTGGGGCTGAGAAGCCTCTGTAGCTTGAACAAGTATATTTGATACTTTAATGTCATATTTTGAATGCAAAACCCCTATTGTTTTAGTAGTATAAATTAAAGGTAGGTGAGTGAGTAACGAGAAAGAGGGCAGGGACATTTTATCTTAATAATTTTTTTTTTTTTTTTTGGCCAAGGGTGGGGGGACTATGTAGCTCTGGCTGGTCTTGAACTTACTATGTAGACTAGGCTGGCCT